CAATTCCGAGAAAATATTTTAACCTTCTAGCTCCTTGATCTCAAATTCCTTAGCTAAATATTGACTCAAGATCTCTTTCTCCTTGTCATCATCTCGTCACTATTATGTCATCAACATAGACCAAAAGAGCTGTAACTCCCCCGAAGGTAAATGTTTAATGAACAACGTACGATTCCCTTGGCTCTGTCCGTATCCCATAGCTATCATAACTCTAGCAAATCTCCTAAACCATGCCCATGGTGATTGCTTTAGGCCATACTAGGCTTTCTTCAATTGACACACGATATTAGCAACTAAGTTCTTCCCATTACTCGGTGGGACCTCCATATAGATTTCTTCCTCTAATTCTCCATGCAAGAATGTATTCTTAACACCAAACTGTTGTAAATCCCAATCATAATTAGCTACCGTAACAACAAAACTTGGACAATGTTCATTTTTGCAAATAGGAGCAAAAGTCTCTAGATAGTCAATTCCATAGGCTTGCGTATACCTCTTGGCTACCGAGTCTAGTCTTGTATCTTTCTATGGACCCATCTACTCTATACTTCACCGTATACACCCATTTGCACCCAACGAGTTTCTTTCCGGCCGATAGCATCACCAACTCCTAAGTCTTATTTTTTTCCAACGCTTCTATCTCCACATTCATAGCTTTTTTTCATTTCTCATTGGACAAAGCCTCGGATAAAGTGGCTGGGATGGTAATGATATTTAAACTAATAAGGACAAGAAGTTTGCAAGAAGGTATAAAGGTCGTTTGGTGCATTCTTTTGTTTCTTTCCTAATAACAATAGGAAGATCCTCATCATCACTCCCTTCATGAGATCCAGTTTCATTATGCAATGAGGGATTAGAAATTGTTACCTCATTCTAAGGATTTTGGTTGGATTCTTGGACCTGTCCGATTCGGGAATACCCATCTTCTTCCTTGTGAAAACTTTTCCTTTGCCAAATCTCACATTTTCAAGAGCGAGTCGGTTTTTTCGTGAGAAATTTCATACATTGGTTCAAGAGGATGTTCGGGAGAATTTTCAAACACGGATGGTGAAATAGGCTTTTCAAGACATGAGTTAGACGGGGAAAGGGATGACAATAAAAATTCATTATGATAGAATGCTCCCTCAAAAAATAAGAAGTTGTAAAATAAGATGCTTGTTCATTGAAAGTGACGTCTACCGAGACATAAAACTTCTTTGATGGAGGATGATAGCATTTATATCCCTTTTGATTAGAAGAATAGCCTACAAAGATACATTTTATTGCCCTTAGATCCCGTTACCCCTGTTTGGAATATGGACAAGGATGGATGATACACACCTAAAAACTTTTAAGAATAAGGTTATTTATAGTATGGAGGTTAGGGTAGACGGTTGAGAGTGTTTCCATTGGACTTTAAACCCCAATACTTTAGAAGGTAAACGAGTTTATGAGATGAGCGGTCATAAGAACGGCTCCCCCAAAAAGACTTAGGCACATGTTTTTGGAATAAAAAAGCTCGGGTTGTTTCGAGAAGGTGATCATTTTTTCTTTTGGCTACTCTATTTTGTTATGAGGCATAGACACAAGATGACTTGTGTCTTGTTACTTCTTTTTGAAAACATGGAGTTAGGATTTGATTGAAATAATCCCTAGCATTATCCGACCTCAACCTTTTGATGTTGACTTTGAATTGGTTTTTAACCATGGAACAAAAATTTGGGAGAACAATACTAACATTGGATTTATGTTTGAGCAAAAAATCCGGATAACACGAGTGCAATCATCAATGAATGACACAAATCTTTTTGCCCCGAAACATTATGAATAGTACACGGACTCCAAATATCATTGTAAATGAGATAAAAAACAATAAAATTTTGTTTAGTACTAATTGGAACCGATGTACGCTTGTGTTTAGCAAGCTCACATACTTCATAATGAAAGTTTTCAGCATCTAGGCCTTTAAACAAAGAAGGAAACAAAATTTTGATGACTCTAAACAATGGATGTCTAAGTCGGCAATGGTGAAGCCATACTTTCTCTTTATTGGATGAAAAAATTTCTTAAATGAAGGAATGAGATAATCTATGCTTGATAATGTTCGATGACTTGTGTTTCAAGGTAGTAGAGGCCATCCTGTCCTTTAGCATGTCCAATCATCTTCCTCGAATGCTTGTCTTAAAATACACAATGATCGAGATTAAAAATCACTTTTCAATGTATATCTCAAGTAAGTTTGTTGTAGATACAAGGTTTGTGGACAATCTAAGGACATAAAGGACATTTTTTTAGAATCGAGGATTGACTTGTTTGGACATCTCCACTTACTACGGTGGAGAATAGGTGGTAAAAATATTTGATAAGTGAGCATGTACTTAGTGGCTCGAGTCCATGACCCAAGAGTTGACAAATGTTGTACCCGAGACATTTAACCCAATAGAGAATGGAAACTTACCCGATTACGCCAAAGAACAAGTACTCGAAGGTTTTTCAAGGCTATTGATAAGCGATCTCAACCTCTTAAGTCTCCTCTTGGTTAAGACTATCCGTCTCTTGAGGTGGTGGTTCGCTCAATTGAACTCGTAGTAACATAAGCTTGTCCATTGCTCGTTGATTGCTCCTTTTCTTGTCCCCATTTTCTCGCTTAAAGGCTTTCCATGAAGCTTCCAACACTTTTCATGAGTTTGGCGTGCCTTCTTGCAATAGTTGCACCACAAGTTGTCACGCCTTTGAGCCTTTGATTGATTGGGCTGGGCTGTCCACCTTCAAGAAATGGTGCATTTTCTCCGTTTATGGTAGATTTGTTGCCATCACTTGCCACTATTGTCGAGCTATTCGTGGCTCGTGATTCAAGCATCAAACCTCTCCCGCTTTTTTCACTTCGATTAGACTACCACTTCATTAAAACATGAAACCTCCGGTTTTCCAAGAATATGAACCCTCACTTGATCAAATTCTAGATTAAGACCAACAAGAAAATCATATACTCTATTTTGTTCAATGAAATTTTTTAGAACAAGTAGGTCTCGCTATATTGCCTCCCAAATATCTTTGGCGGTAGCCAAGAACGTACGTGTCATCGATCTCGGGGGTCATAGACCCCCATAACCACACCATAATCATGGAATCCTCTTCACCCCATGCTTCAAACCGAGGATCATCCGGCTTAGGCCCCGTACATGTAATGTGGCCGATCGTCTCTTTTTTTCGATCTTGTACGAACAAGTTGGTACTCGTTAGAGGACAATATAAATCATATCCCGGGGCCTCACTTAAGAGTTTAAGTTTTTGAGTGACTTGGTCCTTTGACATGGTAACAAAACCTCAAAGAAGCTTAACGACCTAGCAAAAATCCCGGAGCCGAAGTCACTTGACGGACCTCAAAAGATGAATTGTAAGTGAGGGGAGTTTTAGAACACATATCCTACATTGAATAGTTAAATCAAAGATGATTAATATATAAGGTTGAGAAGGGGCGCCCACCACAAGGTCGAAGTCTTTTGGGTTGAGATGATCCTTTAATATGGTATCAAAGCCCGGTACTTTATAGGACGAAAGCCGAGTTTTTACCGGGCATACCAGCCTTCACGTAAAAGGCCTTCATTGCCCAGATTTTTTAGAAACCGATACATTCCCCTTCACCGACAGCCTATCTTTTAGGATCCGTCAAGTGGCTTGGGCTCCAGCAGACTTCTTTGAAGCTTTGATACCATATAGAATTAGGTAGTAGAGATTGAGTTCCATTCAAAAGATTTAAGCTTTGTAGTGGGTGGCCCCTTCTCAACCTTATATATTAATTATCTTTGGTTTAACTATTCAATGTGGAAAAACTTAATATGTGGAGAATATACTTTCATATTTTAGAAAGGTCTTGTAATCATAGAAAATCGGGCTTGTTTTACGCTCTATTATCTCCTTCCTATTTTGGTGTATTTGGTCTCCTATAAAGGGAAAACTCTTCCTCCGTTGTAATACAATAGAAGTAATAAAGAAAAGAATAAATCTCCTCTCGTGGATGTAAGTCTTCATGGCTGAAGCACGTTAATCCTTGTGTCTTCCTTCTTTTCTTCTCTTCTCCAAAAGACAACATGGTATCAAAGCTTGGTTGATCAAGTGGTCCCGAGTTCATGTCTCACCATTCCTACTTTCTCAAGTATTAAGCACAAGGTGATGTGGACTTGTGCAAGTTTCAAGTCCAAATATTTGGGCTTTCACTAAAGGGGTGTGTTAGAGAATAATATAAATCATATTTTCAGGCGTCACCTAAGAGCTTAAGCTATTGGGTGAGTTGGTCCTTTGACAAATTCATGAACAACGAGTAATTCATTTTTATCTCGTTTTGTTCAATTTCTAATGTCCTGGGTAGCAATTGCTAACATACTGATTATTTTGCTTGTTGATTATCATTTTTTGTATTTTATCATATTCTTTCTGTGGAGACCTCCACAGTAATACAATGTTTTCTGCAAATAAGATAGTACTATCAGCACACCTAATTTCTTGGTTGGTAGAAAAGGAATGGCATTGTTTCTTGTAATTTGCTGGAGAAGATTTTTAATTTAATCAACTTCGGGCAATACAGTTTGATGCTTCAAGATTTTACAGAACGGTCTTTTGTAACATTTGGCTAACATATGGTAATAGATTGCCCAATGTTTTGCTTCTGGGACTATAGATTTTAACTGTAGTCTTTTTTCATTCTCAAGAAAAGAACAAAAAAATTTAGTCTTTGTTTTAGAAATGACTAGAAACTCTTTGTAGATGGCTTAAGGCTTCTATTCATGTGGATGGATAGCCTGTTGTTTTATTATTTTCTATCCTATTGACTCATGTCTTCAATTTTCTAAGCATGTTATGGCTTCCTCTGCTTATCATCAATATTACATTCACTGCTACTTTTAATTTAGGTTCTATGTGTTACCCAAGCGGAGCGATCAAAATTTTCTGAGGGGGAAATACAGACATTTATGTCAGTAGATGCTGATCGAACTGTCAACTTGTGTAACAGTTTCCATGATATGTGGAGGTGAGAACGTAATCTTGTTCCTATAAGAGAGATGTTGTTATGCAGCTTGAATCACCAACTACAAAATCTGTTCCAATTCTTCTTTTATTATTATTATTTTTAATACAAAATGGTTGAGCGGGTATATATAACGGCCAAGTACCTTGTGAAATGTTATTCATTCTTACTATCCCAAGTTACTAAGTTTGAATATTTTAGTATCAATTAATGGATGTTTGAATAATTATTTTCATAGGAATGCTAGTTTATTTTCTGTTTAGATTTTTGAGGCCAATGCGCTTTTCTGGTAGCATCATCTTTTTTCAATATTGTGATCATATAAAGCTCCTGGGATTATTTCAGCTTGCCTTTGCAAATTGGAGTGTCACTGTATCTTTTGTATACACAAGTCAAGTTTGCCTTTCTTTCTGGACTGGCCATAATCATCATATTGATACCAGGTATTATCCAACAAAATGTTGTGGCCTTCTTCAAATCATGCATGGGTTTGCTATGCCAATATTCCATGCTGGTGCAGCTTTTATATTATGACTAAACTTTCTTTTATGCAGTGAATAAATGGATTTCTGAATTGATTGCAAGTGCTACAGAGAAAATGATGAAGCAAAAAGACGAGAGGTATTATATTCCTATTATGAACTCTGCAAAATGAATTTGAGATTCTTAGAAGCCTGATTATTATAACCTAGGTCATTGGATGCTTGCCTGGAAATGCTCAATGTCTTCAAGCTCCTGCATGAGTGTTGTGCCTAAGTAGACCTAATGATGCTAAGCAGTTTGGTCCTCTTGTGGTGACTGGAAAGTCCCAACTTGAGCCATATTTTTCTTGGACTCCAAATGTCTACTTTACACTGAGAAAATATCATTTTTTTCTTCCTATGTGGTCCATGTTTAATTTTCTTGTTTTGAATCTCGTCAAACAAGAGCACAATAATTCACATGTGATTGCTTTTGAATACAATACAACATGACAGGATTAGAAGGACAGGAGAAATTTTGACTCATATTCGAACTTTGAAGATGTATGGCTGGGAGCATCTTTTCTCTAGCTGGTTAATGGAGACTAGATCCTCAGAAGTCAAGCACTTAGCTGTATGATACTGTACTTTTATTCTTTGGCTGTCTAAGAATTCTGCATTGTAGGATGCCAGTTCTTTTCATGAACTGTTTAAATATTTTTTAACCATTTTGTTTGGCCATTTGTTATTAGACACGAAAATATTTGGATGCTTGGTGTGTATTCTTTTGGGCAACAACACCAACTCTTTTCTCCGTTTTCACTTTTGGACTTTTCACTTTGATGGGACATCAACTTGATGCAGCAACGGTATTCTGATCTTATTTATATGATGCATGAATGACAAAAATTCTCTAGTTCTTTTTCTATTTTAATAACTTTTTTGCTTGTCCCCCAGAAACCATGGGGTAACTACTTAGAAAGTTGATTTCTCAGAGAATCTTTGTTGCAGGTCTTCACTTGTCTTGCTCTGTTTAATAATTTGATCTCTCCTCTCAATTCATTCCCATGGGTCATTAATGGATTAATTGATGTGAGTTATGCTTGCATTGTGCTTTTGGAAGTCTACATATATTGTTCTCAGTAGTTTTGATATGAGGTGCTGCATTTTCTGTTCTCTGCAATCCAGGCCTTTATATCAACAAGACGGTTGAGCAGGTTCCTCTGCTGTTCAGAACACAAACATGAACTCAAACAAAAAGCTGAATGTCAAGATATGGCTGTCACAGTGCATGATGCTTGTTGTGCTTGGTCAAGCAGTGAAGAAAAGCAACCGAATCTGGTGTTGAATCATGTGAACTTGTGCTTTCCGAAGGGTTCAGTGGTTGCGATAATTGGAGAGGTCAAATCTTTGCTTGATGTTTTCTAACATTCAATTTCTCCCACATTTTCTGTATACTTATACTGACTTCATGATGAAATAGCAATTAGTTGTGAAACCTTGTGAGTTGGATAGAGGTATGAATATGATACTCACCTTCTGTGAAAGTTTTTCTTCTATGTTTTTCTTGACAAAGTAATGAAGGATGCTTAACATGCCTGATTGTACATAATATAATAATCTCAGATTGCATTGTCAATCTTAAGGCATTTTTTCCCTTTTAACAGCTTGGGTTATAGGAACAATAGGCTTTTAAGGTATGGTGTAAAGACTTGATTGATCCTTTATGTACAAATTTGTACAGAATTTTGTAAAGAGAGCCTAGAGGATGCAAAAATGTACACACATATATTAATGGAAAGCATATCATATATAGATGATTATCGTGTCTTCTTAGCACACAGTTTCATTACATCAATGGTTTGGCCAAGCAAGCTTACATCCAGGCAATACTAAGACCATGTTGCTTTTAATTTAGAGTGTGAGATATAGAATCTTGAAATACAAAAAATACCATTGCGATATGAATTTATGAACAATTTTTTTTTTTTTTTATAATAGTAAAGCAGTACATATATTAATAGTTGGGATCATCAATTATTTGATAAGATGAAACCTCTTATATTTCTCTGTGAATGATCTTGTTTCAACATCTTTCTGATAGTATGTCTGTGAAGGATCTTATTTTCATATCTCCTGCTTTCATTAGTCTCTTGGCTGATTTCATCTATTCAGGTTGGTTCAGGTAAATCATCCTTGCTAAGTGCAATTCTGGGGGAGATGTGGCTCATCCATGGATCAGTTCATTCAAGTGGATCTATAGCATATGTACCACAGGTTTATGGAAATTTCTTGTTAGGGTTATTGTGCTTGCACCTTTTTAATTTTAAACATTCTTGTATTGATATCTATTGAATTGTAGGTTCCGTGGATTTTATCTGGAACAATACGTGACAATATTTTGTTTGGGAAAAATTATGATTCAAGAAGGTATAAAGATGTCAAGCTCAAAAGACTTTCATCTTTCTTGTTTTGAAAATTCTTATTTTGTTTCTTCTTTGTTCAAGTCCATGTCATTTAGTTTTCTTAATCCATTTTTTCTACATTGTGAAGATATTCAGATACAATCCGGGCCTGTGCATTAGATGTTGATATTTCACTAATGGCTGGAGGTGACATGGCTCATATTGGAACAAAAGGAATCAACTTATCTGGAGGACAGAGAGCTCGTCTTGCTTTGGCAAGGTTATGTTCACTTCTTCTTTTCATTTTAGCTAGCTTCTTGATTAATTACCCTGAACTTTTTCTATTTCTTGCAATTGACATGCAACAGGGCCATTTATCAAGGGTCGGACACTTATATGCTTGATGATGTGCTCAGTGCAGTCGATGCACAAGTTGCAAGGTGGATCTTACACAATGCTATTCTTGCTCCTTTTATGGACCAAAATACTCGTATTCTTTGCACCCACAATGTACAGGTAGCTGCCTTGAATCCTTTTCTTTCTTTGATATTCACACGTGCGTCTAAGACCACACTGAATCAATCTCTGTTGTGGAATTTACTGGTCAACTGAAAGTAAGGATTTGAGCCAGCAGTAGAGTGCTAATCATTGAAGAAAAGTTTTATTTAGACTAAAAGAATTTTGTGACTTCTTTGAAAATGAGTGTAAATTGCACTTTCAACTGTCTCAGGCAATTTCTTCTGCTGATGTGGTAGTTGTAATGGACAAAGGACATGTGAAATGGGTTGGAAATTCAGCTGACTTGGCAGTTTCATCATATTCCTCATTTTCTCCCCAAAATGAATTTGATGCACTCTTGGATGTTCAACGGAAAGAACTGAGCATGGGCGATTCTATCAAAGTCAGTCATAATCACCTTCCCGAGATGGTGTCTAATCAAGTTTTGGAGGAAGTACAAGAGATCATTGAAGTTGAGTCACGGCAAGTGGGCAAAGTTGAACTTGCTGTATACAAGTAATTACTTTCGCCAATTTACTTTTCATAGCTTAAATGAGTGTTAGTAATTTCAAAGTAGAGGTGATCAGAGCTTTTCAATGTAGTTTTATAAGAATCTCTATCAGCAAAATTACTTCAATTTAGTTTTATTGTTAATTTTTACAATTTATTTCCCTCTGCAGGAATTATGCAGCTTTTTCTGGTTGGCTCATCACAGCTGTAATATTTCTTTCGGCTATTCTAATGCAAGCTTCTCGTAATGGAAATGATCTGTGGCTTTCATTTTGGGTTGACACAACTGGGAGCAGTCAGATAAAGTACTCCATTTCCTTTTATCTGGTAATTACTTTCAGTTTTTAATGGCAACACTATCGCATTTACTTAGTCTTCACTTCAACCCACATTAAAGAAACAACATGGAGCGAATATTATGTTTGCTATGCAGTAAAATACTACTGTTGACGGTGCAGGTTGTACTCTGTATCTTTTGCATTATAAATTCCACTCTAACATTGGTAAGAGCATTCTCCTTTGCATTTGGTGGATTACGAGCTGCAGTTCAGGTGCACAATACATTGCTTAGTAAGCTTATCGATGCACCTGTACAATTCTTTGATCAAACACCAGGTGGAAGAATACTTAACAGGTGAGAAAGAATACTCTTACTAATTATCTCGCTGATGTTTATACAGTCAATGCATTTTATTATGCTTTGTAGGTTGTCTTCAGATCTCTATACAATAGATGATTCTCTTCCCTTCATTCTCAACATTCTCCTTGCCAATTTTGTGGGCCTGTTGGGAATAGCAGTTGTTTTGTCATATGTGCAGGTAATATAAAAATTTATTACCTTCGGTTTAATGATGCAGAAATGCCACTTCCTTTACTTCCCTCAGCATGAAACTGTCGTCTTAAGGGGTTTATGTATATGTGCAGGTCTTCTTCTTGCTTCTACTATTGCCATTTTGGTTTATCTACAGCAAGCTGCAGGTATGCATGACTACAGAATTCAAAATTGTTAGTCTCAAATTTCAATTCTAGCATCAGCTTCTATCCAAAAATCAAAGCATATAAGTGAAAAGTCATCCTTTGAAACTTCTATTTGAAGTATGAATGATGAAGTCATGTGACTCATGTCCTTGGATTTACTTGTATTCACAGTCTTTGTGAAAATCAGTTGGAATATATAGAGTTTTCCCCCGCATTGGAAAGACTGGGTACTCCATTTCTTCAGTGACTTGATATCTATGTTATACTAATGTTACTGCCTTGACAGTTTGTTTGTTTTTTTCTTTTTTTCCTTGCCCCACTAACATGTTGTCTAGATATCTTTGAGCATCCCTGGCAATGCACTAGTTAATAACCATTTTACAAGGGTACATCCCCAGACCTGGGAAGGGAAATAAGGGAATCCTAGATGTTAGACATCTGTAGATGACGCTTCGCAAGTATATGACGGCCCCAGCTGGACTGCAAGCCATTCGTAAAATGAATATACAATGTTACATCTGTAGTTAATGTGAACACTTCAGAAGCTTTAAGGAAGCTGCAGTTGGACTGGAATTCAATTAGTTAATCTTCAGAAAGAATGACATGTCCAAGATGAACGTGACATATAGTAATAAATTAAAAATTTCAATGATTATCCTAACAGAACAGTCTCACTTGAGTTTGAAAAGGTAGAGTTGTAAGCTTTTCCATGTACATCACAATATAGATGCTCTGTGTTAACATTTTTGTGGATGGTGCAAGAGTAGTCAACTCAGATTACAAATTCTTCAGTATATCATCTTCTTTGATATATCCTAACTATGCTCCATGTATGAGATCAGCAGCTGATGCCTTCTAAATTGCTCTCATTTGTATAGTCACACTGGGTGTAAAGAAGGAATGAGATTAGTTATATATATATATATATATATATATATATATCATACCTTGTTTCAGAAAGTCATCACAGCTTGTTTAGCTTAGCCATAACTTCACATGATAATGAGATCATTTGAGTAATTTGTACCTTTCCCTTATATCTAGAGAGCTTTGAATCTTCTACTTAAACATCTGCGTTTTCAGTTCTTCTACAGATCAACATCAAGGGAAATGCGAAGGCTGGACAGTGTTTCTCGTTCTCCAATATATGCAAGCTTCACAGAGACACTTGATGGAGCATCCACCATAAGGGCATTCAAGTCTGAGGTAGATATTTGGCTATTACATTTGAGAATAATTTGTTCTGCTGGCAGCCAGCTGAATTTCTATCTGGCTTCAACTGTCTCGTCTCAGAACACAATCACAAAAGAAAAGGAAGAATATGAGAATGGACTGACCATAGCTAACATAAATCTGGAGAAATGCTTTAAAATAATTCTTAAGTGTCTCAGTCAGGAATGCTGATCCTAGATGTGTGGTTCTGCTTTTACTGCATATTGAAGAATTTATAATGTATGTTTGACTTCCAGTTCTTGATTGAATTGTTTAACTATGAGAAATAGTTGTATGCTAGGTCTAAAAGTGGATTAAGGGCTTTTTTTTTTTTTGTCGCTTCCCACTTATGTGATGAGTTGCTATTCTTCTTGTTATAAAGAATATATGTTTCCAACACTTGCAATAAAATGAAAAATAAGGTACAGACTGACCAGTGCTGATTGTGAACAGGACTTTTTCTTGGAGAAATTTATGGAGCATGTGACACTGTATCAGCGAACATCTTACTCAGAGATGATAGCGAGTTTGTGGCTTTCTCTGCGGCTCCAGGTATATATATATATATATAAATATCCTGGAGAGGAAAAACTACATAAGTATGGGATATTGAAACTGGTATTTGGAATTTTGATTTTCACAGAGTGAACAACATATGTAGTTTGAAGCAATTCAGTATGGAAGTTTAATATTTTCTATGATTTTTACAATAATAATAACTGTTGGAAGTGAAGGATGGCATTTGCAATTTGTTCTGGTTATTCTACTAACCAGTGATCTTCTTTTAGTTGTTAGCTGCAGTTGTCATCTCATGTGTTGCCATGATGGCTGTTATTGGAACTCATGACTATTTGCCGATCAGCTTTGGTACCCCAGGGCTGGTACTATGCTCAGTCTCTCATCCATCTTCAATTTCTGCTTCTCCCATTTATTTCCCGCATTGTGGTACAAATTGCTCAAAGTAGCGACCTCATATAGATAAATGCCACATATTTTGAATTCAGATTATAAGATTATCATTCAAGATGGTATGTTTCGTCGCAGGTAGGTTTGGCTCTATCATATGCAGCTCCAATCGTGTCTCTGTTAGGAAGTTTCTTAACAAGTTTTACTGAAACAGAGAAGGAGATGGTGTCTGTTGAGAGAGCTCTTCAGGTATAAGATAGACCTATGTTTTGCATGTGCTTCCCTATTAATTACTTACATGATTCTACTCTTTTAGTATATGGACATTCCTCAAGAAGAGCTCAGAGGATCTCAATCTCTTAATCTAGACTGGCCATTTCAAGGAATGATTGAGTTTCAGAATGTCACCATGAGATATATGCCATCTTTGCCACCTGCACTACATGGAGTTAGTTTTACAATTCCAGGCGGGATGAAGGTTAGTGCTCATATTGAGACTTGTGTTTACCACTGCCCAACATGCATATGATTTTTTGTTTGGAGCTAAAGTTTTCCAATGTTAGGTTTTCATGCTATGTAATTAAATTGAATAGGTTGGAATTGTTGGAAGAACTGGTGCTGGCAAATCTAGTATTTTGAATGCCCTCTTTCGCCTCACTTCATTATGCAGTGGTCGTATTTTTGTTGATGGCCTTGACATAACTGATGCCCCTGTTAGAGATCTCCGTGCTCGCTTTGCTGTTGTTCCTCAGAGTCCATTCCTTTTTGAAGGTTCATTAAGGTACACCTAAGCTGATATTTTTCCTGGCATAAGGTGTTGGATCATGTGCTTCCTTCTTTCATATCTGTTGAAGTCAGCAGTCATTCTTTGATTTGAAATAATCGAACAATGCCTTTTTTTTTTTTTTTTTTTTGAGTGGATAATATAACTACTGTAAGTAATTAGTCTTCCAAATTTCTAGGGATAACCTAGATCCATTCCAGATGAATAATGACATGAAAATCTGGGATATATTGGGGAAATGCCATGTCAAAGAGGAAGTAGAAGCAGCAGGCGGACTGGATATCCATGTAAAGGAATCCGGATCATCCTTTTCAGTTGGGCAAAGGCAGCTTCTTTGCCTAGCACGTGCTCTTCTTAAATTTTCCAAGGTAAAATAATTGTCTCTGGTATGGTAAAAAAATTCTATAGCATCTCCTTCAACAGGATTGAGTTGTTTTAGTATGGTTCTACACATGCATATTTCAAGACAATGTGGTCCATGCATAAGAAGTTGTTTGATGGACATTTTCCAAAAAGGTAACCTTTTCATCCAGGGGAGCAAATATAAATTTTTTTCAAGTAGCATGCAGGTTTGTACATGACAATGAGCTGCATGATTGATCGAAAAGTCAGAAAACTCCTTGATAATTTTGGAAAACTTACTATGATTATCTTACTATAATTTTGATCTTGGGTGATCTAGTATTTTTGTATGGTCTATTGGGGAAATCTTAGATTTATATTTTGTATGGTTATCTGTGATAGTGTGGTCTCCTCAATGTTCTGTTATCTGTAGGGTGAAACAAAATCAGGGATTGATACAAATTAAGTGACCATTCCCTTGGTTACAGTTTCTTAAATTCCTAGTTAAACCAATTGACTAAGTCTTTTTAGGTTCCATGACTAAAATTTAAGGACAGCGAAGACTTTGGCTTCATTAGGTTTGTAGACAAAACTGAGGGGAAGTGTCAATGAGCATTAGAGCATGCCTGTGTTTGGAGATTACTAACATATTAAAAAATATCAGGTACTTTGTTTGGATGAGTGCACAGCCAATGTGGACACTCAAACAGCTTCAGTGCTACAAAATACAATATTCGGTGAATGCAGGAGCATGACAGTGATTACAATTGCTCATCGCATTTCGACAGTTTCGAATATGGACAACATCCTTGTTCTTGACCGTGGGAACCTGGTATGTGTATATTCTGTTCCTTTCTTTGACAAATGCTCAATGCATTTTTTAGCTTTAGACACAGTTTCATTTCTACTTCAAATTGTATGAAGAGCTTTTTAACGTATCTTTCTCTCCTTTGGTAGGTTGAGCAAGGTAACCCAGGAGCTCTTTTACAAGATGAGTCCTCCATATTTTCAAGTTTTGCTAAAGCTTCGACAATGTAATCACCTAACAGTTGCTATTTGCATAGACTGTTGTAGACTTGTAGTTGTGGAACTTGGTATGGTTCACCAGCGAAAGCGCTAATTGACACCCACAAGGCTGTTTATAATCAAGCTAACCATGAATGATGGACCGTCGCCTGCTCATTTGAACATTGACTATCTGCCCATCCCCTGGTAGAATTGATCATTGGTGCTACTTAAAATGTTAGGATAAGACCTTGAAATTTGGGAATGTAACTGATTGATAATTTTTATTGATCATCTTCAAATATTTTCAATTCACTGGAATTGCATTCCCAGTAAAGCCTTCCTAGTATGATTAATTATTCATGATTGTTTTGGCTTTGAGTTTCAAGCGTATGCCTGCGAAACTGTTTGTAAGCCTTCCTCAGATGATTTAATTGTTTTCCGTAGACAGTAATTATCAGAAACGAGCACTTGCTGAATTGCACAGAATACCATATTCATGTTTGAGTAGTTCTCTAATGGAAGATTTTCAATTAGTTTGTTTACCAATGGCTTTATTATTTCTTCATTCTGAGAGCCTAAAACTAATGTTTGTTAAAAGGATTTCAATCCAATTTCCACAGACAGCAGTTCAATCCTTAAAATTAAATTGCATTTAACCACAATTTATCCTTGTTTTTCACCAATACAAAATGTCATTTTATCTTTGGTATTTTTTCATATTTGACGTCAATAGTATATCAATATTTAAAAGAAAATGACTCAAATTTTTTTACGTGTGAAACCCTCTAATACGAAGGTAAAAACCACCGGATCATGTTCATAAAATTTTCACTATTTAAAAAATTTACAAGATTACAAATTATTTGTCTTCAAGCCACTAGACACAATACCAAATCTAAACACCTAGTTTAGACAACAATACTTAAAAAAAAAAACAAAAAAAACAAAAAAAAAACTTATAAACTCGATATATCCGTGCTATCTAATTTAAGGAAGCAACAAGGTTTACATGAAAATACAACCAAATTTTGTCCCACGACCTATCCAAGAAATGAAAGTATACATATTTGCATCGTCTATTAAACAACAAAGGACCAATTGTGCTCCAAAATCCTACAATAAACCCCGATGCCATGCTCACATAAAACCAATTAAACTCCATTCCGTTGCCATCTTCATTCCTTCCATTCTTCGGGTCTTGTGTAGTGCCATCTCCACTGCGATTCTTGGAGAGTAGAGGCCCGCAAAGTTCATTGCCCATAAACTTATATGGACTAAAGATTTGCAATTGAGTTCCTAAAGGAATTTCTCCCCACGAGTTTGTTATGAGATAAGTTCAAATGATTTAGAAAAGTTAAACTTGACATGCTTCGAGGATTTGGCCGGAAAGTTGATTGAGAGAAAAATCAATACATTCCGGATATCGCATGACACCTATATCCTTAGGAATTTTTCCAATTAAGAAATTGTGTGATAAATTCAAAGACACCAATCCTCCAAGTCTTATAATTTCCATTGGAATCTCTCCACATAAGGTATTGTTAGAAATGTCTATGCTCCTTACCAATATGAGAATAGTGCTATACTCGGCCATTTTTCCCTTCATCACAAGAAATTGATTCTCGGAGTATGTTGATGTTGAGTAATTAGCTGAAATATAAATATAGCTCTCAAAATCATTTCTTGTAGCCATGGCACTCGAAATTAGAGACACAAGTTGGTATCCTCCCTTCGAGATAGTTATGAGCAAGATCCAAGATTTGTAAAGCGGCTAGATTGCAAAGCTCTTTGGGTATATGGCCATGAAACTTATTTGCACGCATGTTTAGAACAACCATGCTTGATAATCTCTCTCCCATCCATGTTCGAATGTTTCCTGTTAATTCATTTTCACCGATGTCAAGTGTAACTAGTTTTCCGCAATTTTTAAGCGACTACGGCAATTCACACGATAGATCATTCATTGCGTAAGTGCAATGACTCGAGCGAACTCAAAGTCCCTAAAGACTTAGGAATACTGTCGCTCGAATCTGTTGTTGCTTAATTTTATGCCTATCAAATATTGCCGACTCATCCAACAATCGGGTATTTCTCCATATAAAAGATTTTTTTCAAGATTAACAAATCGCATGCTTTTTATGTTCTCATGCATCTTATGACACAAAAAGTTGATTATGGACCCGGAAAATGAATTGTTGGAGAGATCTAATGAATACACGTTGGCGAATATAGAAGGCAATGGGCCTTTGAAATTATTTGAACTCAAGTCCACGATTGAGTCCGCAAGAGAAAAATCAAGCTTGAGGTTATTGGGAATCACTCCGTGAATTTGGTTGTGAGAGAGATTTAAGAAGTAAAGTTGAGACGAAAAGTTCCGGAACCAGCCGGGAATCGTACTCGGAAATGCTCGAGCTTGATAAATCCAAATCGGATAAATACTTGAGTGAGCGAAGCCATATGGGAAATTGGGGCCCAATATTCCATGAACTCAAAGATAGGTGTTCCGGATGAAATGGAGGAATCCAATCAATAGGATCGACTCTCAAAATCAATTGGTTTCCACCGAGTATAAAAACATCTTAATTTAGTGAGATTTGCAAAGTGAAATTCGAAAACATCACCCACCAACAAATTATTGGAAAGGTCTAGACTCCATAATGACGCTAGTTCTCCAAAAGACATGATTGGAAGACTTCCATTCAATTGGTTATTCCATAAATTAAGGGAAACCAGATTCTTGAACCGCCCTAAATGTACGGTCAAACCACCAAATAATTGACAACCACTCAAATCCAACGACTCAAGCTTATCCGAAACACATCCTAACAGAATTTCAAAGACCTCGGCTATATCTTGTTTCAGTTTAAGGGATGACAAAGATAGGACCTTCAAATTACAAAGCTTTTGAATGATGCGGGGATTCCTCGATTGAATTCAAGTTTTTTGCCCGACAATTTAAGGTCGATAAGAGAGGTCATGTTTTCAATGGCACTTGAAACTTCACCTTGCAAGTTATTGAATCTAAGGTTGAGAAGCTCAAGACGACTAAAACCATACAACCAGTTGGGTATCGAAGAATTGAATCGATTCCCAAACGGATCAAGTTCCCTAAGTGAAGTCAAGTTTTGAAGATTATTAGGGATTGGACCTTCAAAATAATTGTTTCCTAGATTCGGAGAAACCGAGTTTTGAGATGAGAGATCCAACTAGGAAATTTTAGCACGCGGATTGAAGATTCACTAAAATAATAGTAATTGGATGAGAGATCAAGGATGGAAAGAGATGAAAAGTTGACATTGACAAGTGGAGGAACCGGAGGAAGTTGACGAGTATGACAAATGTAATCGTACCAAAGAAGAGAGTGCATTATTTATCACCTCCAACCAATCAAAGGCTTTACTCGAGATTCAAACCACTCAAATCAAGGAATTCTAGTGAAGAAAGACCGGATACCCAATCTAAATTCTCAACATAGGATTCATAAGGATAATAACCAACATCAAGATTAAGATAGTGAAGATTTGAGAGGTTTCCTAGTTGACGAGGAATCATACCTCCAAATCCGAGCATCGGAGAGGTTAAGGTATATCAAACTCTCCGAGAGAACCAAGGAATTTGGGAATATGAATTCCTTCAAAATCATTGTTGCTCAAGTCCAAGTGCACTAAATATTTCAAGTTGAGCAAAGAAGGATTGATCTTACCACCAAGGAAGAATAACCTCATATAATCTTCGTAGTCACGAGGAGCGGCATCGGGGAAGGCATCATCATATTCTTGGAACGAGAGACTTCTAAGATTGAGCTCAATGACATGGCCGGTGCTACTATGACGGACTATTCCATACCATCTGCAGCAATCCCCATCACCAACCCAAGATGCAAATCGGTTTGAAGGATCAATGAGATCATGCTTTAACTTCAAGAGAGCATCTCTCTCGGTTGGGTTGCAAAGAACTGCGGTGAAGTTCCCGTGGTTGAAGGCAAGAGGAATAGTTGGTGGAAGAGACAAGCAAAGAAGAAGAACGGGAACAAGAGTAGCAAAGCCGATCGATATTTTCATGATCATACCTTTCTATAAAGCTAAGGAAGTAGTGAGTGAGGAATGAGTCGTTGGCTTGAAACTTAGATACCAATGGAGTGTTATTTATAATTCCATCTTGACAATTACTAGCTAGCTAGCATTTATCACGAGCATGGAGTGTTAATTGGTTTAGCCAAACGGGTTCGCGTACTTAAAACATATAGTATAACATATTATAACATACACTAATTTATCGTAGCTAAGCCTTTTTTGGCGTTTAGTTAAATTTTTTTTCCTTTTTCATCCCTATTTTTTATCTTACTTTCGTTTTAGTCTTTTTTTTATTCCCTTACTTTAACCTTCTTTCAACCAGTTGTACATCCGGTAATGATGGGTTTTTTTTCTTTTTTTTTTCCTCTAAAAGTCAAGAAAAATGACTTATGTATGATGTGGATAACAATTAACTACGTCCGCATGTTCTTAATTTTGACATTTGCAATGTTGTTGCTACTTGTTGCTGCAACAAAATTACCCAAATCAAACTTAAAAAATCACCCATTACATTTATAAATCACCCAAATGAAACAAAGAACTTCTTTTTACTATTAATGAAATTGTTTGTTGTGTTTTCATCTTTATTTTAATCATTAAAATTTTATTATGTTTGATTTTTTATATTAAAATTAAATACGAGTTTCACAATTGTAAGTCTTTTATGGTTTTCGGTAAAAATTTTCTTTATATTAAAATTAAAATTAAATTTTTACTATTAATGATCTTTCTTGCAAGTTATTGGATCTAAGGTTGAGAAGCTCAAGACGACTAAAACCATACAACCGATTGGGTATCGAAGAATTGAATCGATTCCAAGAAAGATCAAGTTCCCTAAGTGAAGTCAAGTTTTGAAGATTATTAGGGATTGGACCTTCAAAATAATTCCTTCCTAGATTCGGAGAAACCGAGTTTTAAGATGAGAGATCCAACTAGGAAATTTTAGCACGCGGATTGAAGATTCACTAAAATAATAGTAATTGGATGAGAGATCAAGGATGGAAAGAGATGAAAAGTTGACATTGACGAGTGGAGGAACCGGAGGAAGTTGACGAGTATGACAAATGTAACCGTACTAAAGAAGGGAGTGCATTATTTATCACCTCCAACCAATCAAAGGCTCTGCTGAGATTCAAACCACTTAAATCAAGGAATTCAAGTGAAGAAAGACCGGATACCCAATCTAAATTCTCAACATAGGATTCATAAGGATAATAACCAACATCAAGATTAAGATAGTGAAGATTTGAGAGGTTTCCTAGTTGATGAGGAATCATACCTCCAAATCCGAGCATCGGAGAGGTTAAGGTATATCAAACTCTCCGGAGAACCAAGGAATTTAGGAATATGAATTCCTTCAAAATCATTGTTGCTCGAGTCCAAGTGCACCAAATGTTTCAAGTTGAGCAAAGAAGGATTGATCTTACCACCAGGAAGAATAACCTCGTATAATCTTTGTAGTCACGAGGAGCGAGCATCGGGGAAGGCATCATAATATTCTTGGAACGAGAGACTTCTAAGATTGAGCTCGATGACATGGCCAATGCTATCGTGACGGACAATTCCATGCCATCTGCAGACAATCCCCATCACCAACCCAAGATGCAAGTCGGTTTGAAGGATCGGTGAGATCATGCTTCGACTTCGAGAGAGCATCTCTCTCGGTTGGGTTGCAAAGAACTCGGTGAAGTTCCCGTGGTTGAAGGCAAGAACAATAGTTGGTGGAAGAGACAAGCAAAGAAGAAGAACGGGAACAAGAGTAGCAAAGCCGATCGATATTTTCATGATCATACCTTTCTATAAAGCTAAGGAAGTAGTGAGTGAAGAATGAGTCGTTGGCTTGAAACTTAGGTGCCAATGGAGTGTTATTTATAATTCCGTCTCGACAATTACTAGCTAGCTAGCATTTATCACTACATGGAGTGTTAATTGGTTTAGCCAATCGGGTTCTACGTACTTAAAACATATAGTATAATATATTATAACATATACTAATTTACTGTAGCTAAGCCTTTTTTGGTGTTTAGTTAATTTTTTTTTCCTTTTTCATCCCTGTTTTTTATCTTACTTTCGTTTTAGTTTTTTTTATTCCCTTACTTTAACCTTCTTTCAACCAATTGTACATGTGGTAATGATGGTTTTTTTTTTCTTTTTTTCCTCTAAAAGTCAAGGAAAATGACTTATGTATGATGTGGATAACAATTAACTACGTCCACATGTTCTTAATTTTGACATTTGCAATGTTGTTGCTACTTGTTCTTCGCAACAAAATTATCGAAATCAAACTTCAAAAATCACCCATTACATTTATAGATCACCCAAATGAAACAAAGAACTTCTTTTTATTGTTAATGAAATTTTTTATTGTGTTTTCATCTTTATTTTAATCATTAAAATTTTATTATATTTAATTTTTTATATTAAAATTAAATACGGTTTCACAATCGTAAGTCTTTTATGGTTTTTAGTAAAAATTTTCTTTATATTTTGGTTCCTATTTTGTGATTTTTTTTATATTAAAGTTTTATCATGTTCGATTTTTATTCGTGACTTACGCATAATGAGTTTTTTTTTTAATCTTATTATTCATAAGTCTTTTTTTGCCTTTTATTGAAATTTTTTTATTCTTATTTTATGATTTTTATTTTGTTTTTATCATTTAAATTTTATTGTATGTAATTTTTGTTCCTATTTTTGCCAAACAGGTTTTGAAATATTTCAATTTCATTCCGATTTGACAAAACTTTTTTGCTTTTTGTTTTAGGTGGTCTTTTTTTGTCTCATTAACAAACTACAAATAGAGAATATAAGGTAGAAATTAATCATCCAAACTTAAAAAAACTATCACATCATTATTTTAATTACCATTTATTATATATTTTTATAATAAAATGTATGTTTGTATCAAACAAGATTTAATTAGCAACATTATATTGCTTAATTTTGTAAATTTTTCATTTAGCTAACCTTGCGGCAATGCACGAAATATATGTTTTGATCTTTCTATTTTTTAAATTTTTTTCTTGTGAGTTTTTTAAATAATTATCTTTAAATCTGTATTTTATATAGATATATACATAAGAATATTGTATAGCTCACCCCACGACAACACGCAGGATATGTGCTAGTAATTTCTCTAAACTATGATTTTTCCTAATTAACGACCTCCATCTTTGTCATGTAATCATCCACATTAATTTGAGTAAGCATGGAACATTTTGAAGCCAATTATCAATCAAGTGTTTTTCTTTTCACGAATAATGAAGCCAATTAAGGCTGGAGTTTAATTAATAACCGTAATTTCTAATTTTCTCAATGTATTGAATTGATTTTTATTTTATTTTTTCTTTGCATTTTTCTCCCCCTCCTATTGAATTGTTGTAATTATTTCATATCAGCTTTGCATTAGCTAATCCCCTAATTATACAGCAGCTGTCCATAAATTTTCCAACAAATTCCCCTATGACATGTACTAAAAATTATTTCATCCTATCTCATATGAATTTTATTTTTGTTTTATGTTTGGTACCTAATTAATAAAGTTTTTTAATTACCATGTTAATTTCTTAGAAATAAAGGAAGCATCGTACAACTGTTACAAATAAATGAAGAATTTTTTTTTTCTAATTTTCTCTCTAGTATTGATTAGCATAAACAATATTAGCAATGGCAACAAATAGAACCGGTGGTTAAAAAAATTAGTTTTTTTATTTAATATTTTAAATTCAAATATTAAGACTGGCAAATACAAAAAAAATAAATAAATAAATAAATTATTTCATTAATATACCAGACTAATGTTAAATAATGTTCAAGACTATACCTTGACCATCAAACTAACTCAGACAAATAATAATAATAATAATAATAATCGATATTATTAGCAATGGCAAGTATACCTGGAGGACAAACCACTCACTGAAAAGAACGAGTCATGTAGAGTAGGGCTTGAGTATTTATGAAAATAGAATTCTTAATTTGATTTTTTTTTCTTTTTTAATAATCCAAAGGATTCATTGAAAGCACAATAAGGGGAGGCCTCGAAACGAAAAAAAGATTGTTCGAGGAGCATGTAGCACAAGAATTCTGAGTTTGATAAATAATGCTTCTTCACTGTACAGGTCAAGCGAGAAGGACAAATTCTGAAACCGAGAAATGGGTAAGAAGTCTTTAAGTCTTCGGAAATGTCTTCATTCTCTTTTTATCACTTTCTATGAATAAGTTAGAAATTTGCTCTTCAAAGTCTCCATAACCATAAATGCTCCTTCTCTACGTACGTTGAATGAGACAAGACAAGAGACCAAATTAGTGGATATTAATTTCCACACATTGTACATATATTTCCACACAACACCAAATTAGTGGATATTAATTTCCAGAAAACAGATTTTAAATCTCTACGTACGTTGAATCCTATGTTTGGTTGAGATTTAAAATCTAATAACTAATAATAAATTAAGCATGTATTGAATTATTTAGTCCAACCTTTCAAGTAATTATAAAGAAAACAGATTTTAAATCTCTAAAATTTGTTGTTTGAACTTTGACTCGTTAGACTATTTTTGTATTAAAAAATTAGAGTCACCCTTCTATTTAATATTTCATCAAAACGAATAGAACTAATTTTTTTCATAAATATTTGTAGATCCAAAAATACCTTAAAAACACACACATACGCGCACACTTTCTAAGCAAATCTCCATGAGAAATAGGGAAAGACATTAGAAAAAAATAGCAATCTTGGCGTAACTTGATGTGGGAAAAAATCAGGACAGCTGAAGGTCTCTTAATTCCCAATTTTAACGGTCGGCTTGAATTGATAGGATGTGCTGAATGGCTTTGAAGGCCATGTGGATATATAATTTAGTGCTCATTCTATAAATATTTCATTTCATATGAGCTTTGCTTTGCTTTGACCACCTAATTATTTTATTATTATTTAAGTCCCTAAATTGGGTTTTAAGTTGGAAAATTTCTTGTTTGCGTATTGATTTGTTAGTTTAGCAATGAGGCATACTGAGTTTTCAACAAACTCTTATGGATTCTGTTTTTTTTTTGCCCAGAAAAGAATTTGTCGTGCACGTTAGTGCATGGGTCTCTATGCCAAGGAATCGGCAATTTTGATTACTAATGTTCTATACGGGTAAAATAATTAAAACATATGTAGCTACTTGGATTAAGACTTCTCCAATTTTTCTTCTTTGACAAGTCAAGCTAGTAAGACAAATTCTGTAATGAGAAAATGTGTGTCAAGTCTTCTAATCTTTTGAAAATTAACTCGGTCTGTTGTCTATATAGGTTACTTCAGTTTGGTTGAGAGGTGTGAAATTTTCTCTGCCTCAAAAGAAAAAAAAATCTTACTCGTTTAAGTTCAGAAATTATAGCATTGACTTGGTCGGTCATATTTATTACTCAGGCCAGCATGCGGTGTGGCACCAATAGATACCGTTTAGCCAATCTTCTTTAGCTTTCAGAGATCAAATTTATAACAATTTCCCATCAATGCATGCGATGCGACATGCTTACGATGCGACAAATTTGAGCAAGAGCTTCGGAAGTTGACACAAGTGAAATCACAAGAAGAAGGAAAGCATTAACGAGGAAAATGGATCCTAATTTTGTAAACAAAATCAGACATTATGGCGTTCTTGTTCAGGGATTATTGCACAATCCAAATTCCAACTCCACGAAAATTAAATTAGGTTTAATTCAATCACATTCTTGCTAACTTGACCGTTGGAGTTTTCCCATTTGAACAAATTCCGAAGGCATAAAACTTCATGGACATAATAGAATTAAACCAACAGAGATTGAATTCATAACAAACCAAATTACTATTAATATTTCTATTAATATTAACTTCACAAAGAGATACCTTTTAAACCTCTTTTAAATTAAATGAATGTTATGTTTGTTGAAAAATTATATGTTCATTGCCTCGCCTTCGTATTGATTAATTTGTTAGATTAAGAATAAACCATTTTGAATTTTCGAATTCAGTTTCTCCAAGAAACTTTAATAACTTTGTTCTTGTTTTTGCCAGCATAGCTACTTTTTTCTCCATATATTTTCTTAAAAGAAACCTCTATTAAATTTCCATCAGAATTACCAAGAATATAGGGCCCCATTTTTCTATCCTGGACAAGTCAAGTGAGCTAGACTAAAAAGCATATATGAAGTTTTGTTTTTTTGAAATGCGTTTGTGGAAAACTCAATACTTGGATGCTTCCATCAAATTGGTATTTGATTGAAAAGTGACAAATTTTCTCCAACTAACCCAAAAAACATGTAACATCAAAGTCATTTATGTAAGAAATTGGAGCATAGATTTGGACGACTCTTATCTTGTAAGGAACGGCATCTTGTAAAGAAATTGGGCCTAACATGTTTATGCTCTATTTCAAAAACATGCTATCAAATTTCTGTAATAATATATATATATATATATATATATATAAGAAAACTTAGATTTATTTGTTGGAATAAAAAAAAATAGCATTTTAACAAAACAAAAATCACTTTAATGATGTAATTGTTTTTTTTTTTTTTAATACGAGTGTTTGATTGGTTGGGTTTAATGATGTAATGCTATCAAAATGATTGATATCCACACATATGTAAAGAAAATGGATGGT